ACACACTTACACACATATATTGTTTTTTATAAATATCACAAACATAATAAAGCATATGAATATTTGTCTAGGTAGTATATAGGTACTTAGGAATCCAAACATCAGATATATGTACAGTACTGTGGAAAAAGCAAAACATTAGTCATAGTTCATATTTGTGAGTACATTTAATTGAGGGGGGAAAAAAGTGTTTGTAAGTGGGAAAAGGATCATACAAGAACACAAAAGCATCACCCTTACTATAATTTCTGTCATTAAACTTAATAAAGAAATTTTAGAAAATCTGGATAAATTTAATTCAAGTCTATATAAGTCCATGCATGGTATACTAGGGGTTATTTAAGGAAAATGAGTTTGTTTGTATAATACTGTGTTACTTTGCATAAGAAAAATTTATGATTGGGCCCTCTCTGGTGGCACAGCAGATTAGGACATAGCACTGCAAGCTAGCCACAGCCGCTTTAGTACAAGTTCCATCCCCCACCCCAGAGGTGATCCACATGGCGTGGCAGACCTCTCCTGATCTGTCCACTGCTCCCCTCAGCAATGTACTTCCTCACTCTGCCTGTTCCGCTCCCACTCTATCTCTTGTGAATTCTCTCACCAATCCTGAGCCTCTGGCCTTTACCCCAGTTCTGTATGTCGAAGTAAATAAATAAATCTTTGAAAATAAATTTTATGATGAGCAAACATGTTATGTTATAACGAAAAATTAAGAAAATTGGAAACTATTGGTTTAAAATAATAAGCCAGTGTAAATGAAAAGTATAAATTATATAAAGTAGATTAATGTATTGACTATATATATGTGTGTGTGTGTGTGTGTGTATACAAACATTATACATATATATATATATATGAATAATATACAGTGGTGTAGCCACTGTTGCCTCAATTGAAATATTAGTCAAAAATATTACAAAATTTTTAGGAATCCTACTCAGGAATAAAGAAATAAAGTTATCTTTAAAAGAAGTTAATAGTATAATTTAATAGTATACATTAAATAGAATGTATGTTAGTAAAGTATAAAATAAATAAAATATATGTCTATATCACATGCGATGAAGATAGCCATAATTCCTTTTCTTTTTTGTGGTAGTTTAGAATTTATAAAGTGAATAAGGAAATGGATTTTTGAAAAAAAGTAAGATAAAACTTTGGTTTATAAAATATTTTGTGCCACTATTTAGATATGTATTTCATCACATAAGGTTGGTCATGGGAATAAAAAAAAAATTTTGAGTTTTAGAATATTTTTAATTTGGCAAGAATGATGAAAAAATGAGCAACCAATATTTAGTCTAGCCATGTTTTCATTTTGTCTTGTTTTCTTTAACAGTAGTATCTCTGTGACTACTTCTTTTTATTATTTTATTCCTATTAGGGCATTTTATTTTTGAAGGTAAAATTGAGGCCTCTTTTTAATTCACAAGTGTAAAATTGGTCCAGTGAAATTAGCAACTTGGCTACATTTCCTAAATTTGGAGGAATTTTAAATGAGGAAAAAATGATCCTATTTGTCTGAGTCTTTTGTAGACAACTGTGTTGGCAAGTTTAATGCTTATGCCCTAAGGCTAAGGGGAACTATCCAACTTTAGACTTCCCTCCCTCCAGACTATGACAAACAAAACCTAGCCAGAAATGGTTTAACAGGCATGATAATGACTAGCTCAAGGAAAAGAAAAAATTCCCCAAATGTCCTGGATATAAAATGTCTTTGGGATGTTTTCTGTCAGTGACAAATCCGACATTCCTTTGATTACGTTAGCGTCTCTGGCACTCACTTAAATCTCTGTAGTAGATCTTTTTTTAAAAAACAGTGAATCGTCTACAAAGGATCCAAGAGAACATGTTAGATGATTTCAGGAAACATCCTTCTGTTTTAATAATTCTTTTTTTTAGGAACCTTGGGAAATACTAATTCTCCATCTTGTAGAAATGATTTTGGAGACGTGTTTATTCAAAAAGAGTTTTTGATTTATAATCAGTAGCAAAACTCATTCTGCTACAACTTATATATAAAACAAATGGCCCTTAATAACACACTTTTTTTCATGGTGTGCTGTGACTTTCCAAATTAAGGATTAGATATAAGGGCCCTATAACAATATGATAAATGTAATTCACATATAGGAGTTTTGATTTTTGTGTACTAAATTCCCTTGTTTTTCTCCTGTTAATACAGGGTTTATTGGTTATGCTCCATATGTCAACCGTATAGTTCAACAATGGAATCTCCAAGATAATGATGATGATCAGCTATTTTACACTAAAATTTACATTGATCCACTGAAGAGGGTATGTCACTGTTCCCATGTTTGGTGTAATTTACTTGTTCAAGATGGTCACTGGTACTCCATTCACTGTGCCCTACTCTAGGCATTAGTAGGCAGGCTAGTAAATAAGGAGCCATCCAGTTGTGTCAGCTCTTTTAAAGTAGTCTCTCTAGAAGTCTCTCAAAATACTATCGCATATTTTCTTTGATTAGAACCTATTTATGTGGCCATACATACTGTGCACATGAACATTATCTTTTATTTTAAACATGTATCCTAAAACTTTGGTTCTATTTTTTAATAGGAAGTATGCTGGAGGTAATGACAGTCTATGAAAGACCTGAAAGAGAGTATTCCTAAAATTGATTTGAGGGAGCTTTGGCAAAAATGAGACCAAATTTTTATAATATAATATTTTTACTATATTAACCTAATATGTTCATTTTTCATAATTGACTATATAGCAGATACAGTTCTACAATTTATTGAATTATGTATTTGTGGGTGCTATCTTTAGGAAACAAGTTTTTTTTAATTCAAATTTACAATAAGTTTTCAGCTAAAGCTGTTTCTCTTTCTTACATAAATATACTTCAATCATATAAATATTTTTGTTAGATATTTAATATTGAAGAAACTATTCCTAAGATATTTATTTTTCTTCATCTCTGTGTTTTACTTTCCCTTTTGTGTATTTGACATGGCAAGCGTGAGGATGTGGTCTCTCCTTTGGGACCAGAAACCTCTTCTTGGCCTGAGCACTAGCCCATGTGGCTTGATCCTTGACTTTTCTTACTGTAATTCAACTGTGGATGGACTCTGAGTCTTATTTAACTGTCTTTGATTTGGGATATTTCCTTTGTAATCTTACAGCTGGGTTTGCAATATTTTTAGTTATATAAGTCCTGTTTAAATTTCTCTCTGAGCATAAGATTTTGTCTGGTTAGCATATGTCTTAGACTGTTTATTCATCCATGAAGAGGCATATGTCTTAGACTGTTTATTCATCCATTAAGGGGCTTAAGTGACAGAAATGTCTTTCTCACAGATATGGAAGCTGAGGTCAGGGTGCCAACCTAGTTGATTTCTGATGAGAAATCTCTGTTGACTTTATGGCTTATAGATAGCATAAATAGCAGCCCCTTGCTATGACCAAGCTGGGCTTGGGGCAACAGGGTATGGAGATGAGAAAGACAGAGAGAGAGAGAGAGAGAGAGAGAGAGAGAGAGAGCGCAAGCAAATAAATGTATTGTCTGGTGTCTCCTCTTAAAAGGGTACTCATTCCATCATGAGGATCTGGACTCTTATTACCTTAATTTAACCTAATTACCTTCCAATGGTTCCATCTCCAAATATAATCCAATTCAACATTAGATTTTTAATATATGAATTCGGAGAGGGAGGCATCAATAAAAGTTTGTTTCTCCTACCACTTGTTCATAATAAGTTAGCAGGGGGTTTCTGTTAATTGTAGTAACTTAGGAATCCTGACTTATGTGCCAGAAGAAAAAAGCACATAGGGTCTTAAACTGGTGATTAACATGTTCCATATTAGAAGTGATTCATTTTATTTTTGCTAACACATCATGGCCATACTCATCTTATGGTGGAGGTTTAGATATATTTGGGAAAGAGTATGAATGTTCACCATACTTTCATCCTCTCATTTAATCAATTGTAAGATTCTTTCCTTTCTGAAGATTATTACTAGCACATTTCCATAGTGGTTCCTTATGTAACCTTAAAACTCCAACTGTGTAAATATGATAGTTTTCTATTTTTTGTTGTTATTTTAAATACTATCTATTTCTTCCTTTATAGGAAGCTATTAATATCACTTTGGATCACAAATGCAAAATTTTCCAGACCTTAAATGGAGCTGTAGGTATGCTTCTTAAATATCAAATTACCCATGTCTATAAACATCAAATTACCCATGTCTATAAACACACATGTGTTTTCAACTGTCTTTTTGTTGTTAACTTTCTCTTGGGCTGTAACTAAAATTTACTGGGTAGATGTTGCAACATCTAAAAAATATTAGACTTGAGGTTAACTTGATACAGTTAAATACATTCCATTAAAAATCATTCCTAAGGCTAGTAAAGGAAAAATAAGTTTCTGGTCTTAATAACTTAAAATTTAGTGACAATCTGAAGACTGTACACATTTTTCAATGTAACACTGAGTTGTATATTATCCAAGAGTATTAATAGTATTTTAGTCTATAGTCTGCCTCTCAGTGTTGTCATGAAGATGTAAGTAATACATGGATGGCAAATAGACACTGCCAGGCATAAGCAAAGTTTCTATAATTGGCCACCTGAAGGTAACTGGCAATAGACACATATACTGGGTTTTGTGTGTGTCTGTCTGTACTTGCATAATTGTATACCTTTTTGTGTTTTTTCCAATTCAGACATACATTGTGATAAATATATAGAAATGCATTAAAATTTATTAATAATTACTTTAAGATAATTGCAATAATGATGGGGACTACAACTGAGAAGAGAAAACATGCATTGTACAAAAAAAATGATGTAAATAAATAAATACATATATATATGTATATATATACACACAAAAAAGAAAATGTAATAAAGTAATAATCCATCAATGCAGCGATATTTAAAAAATAAACATACATTACAATTCAGTAGAGATCTTCAAGTCAATTTAGATAGTGAAAAGCTTTTCAGAGTGAAAGTTTTTAGTTTAGTGTGCTCAGAAATTATGAGAGAAACAACCTGGAAAGAAAAAAATCTGCTCTCAAATTATTTAATCAATTTATGGAATTTGCATTAGACCTATTTTTCAAGCACTAAAATGACTATCAAAGGTGGCCAATTATAGAAACCTTGCTTATGCCTGGCAGTGTCTATTTGCCATCCATATACTACTTACATCTTCATGACAACACTGAGAGGCAGACATGGGCCCCGCTTTACAGATAAACAAGTTCAGTTAATAAGGTCACTGCCCAGGATCACAACTACTCAGAGGCAGAGTTGGGAATGCAAGATACTCGGCCTGCCACATACCCCAGTGGGATTGGTGACTGGTGCGGGTTGGGGTAAGTGAGATTGCTCAGAATATGTATGTATATGGCCCTACAGTTTGGGTGCCTGCTCACCTGGAGTAAGCTGAGTTCCTGAAAATGTGGTAGCACACGGTGTAGTACTCATGGGAATTTTTATAACAAGATATATACAACACACACACATACCTTTAAATTCCTAAAATCTGTTTTTTCTTTTTAACCCAGATGAAGTTGTTTTGAAATTTGAAAATGGCAAAGCCAGGGCTAAAAATGTATTTTATGAAACATTACCAGTGGTAATTAATGGAAATGGACCCACCAAGGTGAGTCATAATGACTTTTTCCTATTTCCATATTTTTTGGAGATAGACTTGGAACAATATGGAAAATGTTGTCATCTCCTTTTCTTCCAACCCCTTAACCCACTCCGTCTTTCCCTTCTCCAACTCTTTTGTCCTCCTCCTCTTTCTCCATTCTCCTCTAAATATATTTAAGAGGTTTTATTTTGGTGTCAGTGATTTACTGGGTTTCAACCATACGAATCCAACTGATGAGTTTTCTGCATCAGAGTGATCATTTCCTTTTTTTTCCAGTACAGAATGTTGAGTCTTTAATGATAACAGCTAACTCGAGAATGAGCCACATTTCCCACATTACCTATGGGATAACCTTATATCCCTAGTATATCCTTTCTAAATAGGAGTTTTTGAGATTTTGAGAAGAATAATTAGTTTGAGTCACCATAATGTAAGTTAACTCATTTAAGATTGAGATATAACTAAAGGGCCAAAAAGCTTCCTCCTGCACATATTGCATTCCATGTTTGATGAGGTACAGTTGATGAAGATTTAATTTGACTGATAGTATTTCAGGTGCTTCCCTGTTTCAGGTATATATATATATTATATATAATATATATATAATATATATATATATATGCACACATACACACACAATTGAGCTTGATTAAAATGTTATTTGAGAACAAAATTTAACAGGTTTGAATTGCTGATATCCAAACAAAATTAGCATGCGGTATACACACACAAACTTTGAGTAATACATGAGGACACGTTATTGACTGTTAACAGAATAGTTTATATACATGAGAAGAAATTCAAGGAAAAGCCCACATTGGCATCTACTCTGCCATCAACACGGAAGTAGATTCTCCTGTCCTGCAATCACTCCATGGAGCATTTCTTCCCATTCTATCCTCCCTACACAGCAGTCTGTCCCTATGCTCTTTTTTCATTGTATCAAGTTAACAGGCTCTGTTCTCTCTCCAGGTTTGTAAAGACTATGTCTTCCCACCCTTATAAATAAGACACGAACCAAAACATCCTATCAATCCATACTTTCCCCAGCCTGCCTGTTTTTTCCAACACCTTCTTCGCCAGACTTGTTTAAAATAGAGACAGCATACTGCTCCTACTATTCTCCTTCTACTGCACCAGAAATGTGCTGGCAGGGTTTCTTGTACCATCTCTAGAGCAGTAACTCTCCTGTATTCTTTTTAAGTCACCCAAAAAGTAATATTGGGATTGCTCATCCCATTGGCCCTACTTGAAATATTCATTCACTTCACAGTTTTCATGATGTTCTCTTGGTTTGTCCACTAGTTTGTAGGTCTTTACCTTCAAATTCTCATTTTTAAGTCTGTTTTGAAATTTAACTTGGTGTGTGTGCATGTGTGTGTGTGTGCACATATTGGTGGTGGTAGTATAACCCTGTGTTATTTTAGCGAAGTCATCCACAAGAATTAACCTTTGTCTCTTCCACACACATACTTATTTGCTTCATTTCTGTGTCAAAAAATCCTTTCCAAATGCTGATGAATTTCACATCCTTACTCTCGGAAGAATATCTTTCCTGAACTCCATATCTGAATACCCAGTTGATAGATGTATGTGTATGTCATAAAAATCAGTACTCTCAGCTCTTCCATCCAATTGCAACCAGATCCTGGGTTTTGTTTTGACTCTACAGCAGTTTCCACTCCCAACCCAAAAGCTAACCTTTCAAATCCCTATGCACAGTGTCTTTAACGTCCTAAATAAGTGCATAAGCAACTTCCATAGTGCATACTACTTACCACCTCACAACAGTCCCAGTTACCTGTGAGCACCTTAGAGCAAGAGTATTCTGCAGAAGCAGAGATCCAATGAATTTATTCAATTATATCCTCCACAGACTTAGGTATGAAGTTTCAAATTACCACTTGTCTTAGAGATCTCTTTAAGTTTTGTTCCTGCTTTGGTGGCTACTAGTTTATCACCTTATGTACTTCCCCAACTTATACAGGGACAATGAACATTTGTATACATATTTCTTGTACTAAATCATTCTCTCCCTCTTTCTTCCATCAGCACCCCACATTGAATTACTTTCACCTTTACAAATGTTCACTTTTCCTCTATCGGCAATTCATTTCACTAATTCAACTTCTTATTCCTAGTTCCAACCACTGTACTGCTTACCTGCAAAGTCCTGTTAACCTTTCAGATATCAGCTTAGTCTTTACTCCTCCGATAGCCTGTTGTGACTTTATAGTGTCTGGAACTTCTTCCACCACGGTATATTCCACACTTTTTACAGAGATGGAACTTACCTGTTTTCACACCTCTCTTACCTACTGTGCCTTAAATGTAGGAATTATAGACATCATATGTAGCCAGCCAGGTGTCTGTTGTTATCCCCATGGTCTAGCACATTTGTAGCACACATTGATTTGTCAGGTTTCATAATCTAATGCCTTAGCATGCTTAGTTGAATTATTTTATATTATGAGCACACTGATTGCTGTGTGTCATCATGACTGTCCCTGGACAAAACATTTATAAATGCAAATTTGTCTATTAAAACCCCTTGTAGTGTATGTATGTGTGTGCACATATACATACATGTTTGTTGACAATTTCTGTTTTGGTCTTTTGTCGATACATTTGGCACCAGTTATGCTAAGCTTGTATAGCCAGACATCTTTTGTAACTGAAGAGTATGCTAAGTCACATTGGTAATGTAATGTTTAAACTAGTTTAAATGTCTTTAAAGAAGGAATTCGATCCTAAGAATCTCACTACTGTGGGAGAGACCTAATGGTCAATGATTTCAATGATTACCAGTTCTTCCCAAATTTCTAGGACAGTGCTGACTAGAGTTTATAGAGTAGCAAAAGGAATTCTCATCAGAGAAGCAGCACTATCATTTATTAAGACCTGTGTATAGGCTACTCCTTGGTGGCTCAGAGGTTGAAGTCTCAGCACTATTAAGCTATCACTTGCCATGATAGCATAAGTTTGAATCCTGGCCAGGGAACTGACTCACATGAACAGCAGACCTCTCCTGTCTTGTCTTCTGCTGCTCCCCTCAAAACTGTGTTTCAGTAGATCCACATGTTCTGTTCTCCACTCTGTCTCTGGTGAATCCTTTCACGGCTCCCACCAACTCTGGACTGCGCCCAGCTCTCATATGTATAAATAATATATATATGTGTGTGTATATATATATATATATATATATATATATATATATATACACACACATATATATATATTTTTAAGAGATTTTAAGTCTTCTAAGAAAAATTCTGAGTATAGGGTATGATTGTTTTTGGCATTTCAAACTGTATGATCCTTTTCAATTATTAATGAGTTAAACAATCGTTTATGATCCCACCACACAGTCCCCATATTCTTTTATTGATAATTGCTTTCAGTTTTATGTTCTATCATTGTATATCTATGACCACTCACATTTTTCATTTGTTTTAATAATTTTATACAAGGCATGTGGTGATCATAACATTTTATTTGAAATATGTTTCTAAATTTTACATAAGTATTTTCATGTTTGTCTAGATATAATATAAATCAAGTTTTAGATATAAACTGTGAAGCCTATTTATTAGCCACACATATGATGTTTATTTTAATAATAACATTTTTTAACTATGAGATATAATATAATCATTAAGGAATTAGTGACATATTTATACAAAGAAATTAGAAAACCATCAAATCACATAACATGCAATAGGTCATTTCTGAAACAAATTTGATTTGCAATAAAAGTGGGGATATTAATTTTCTGCATGTAAATCACAATGCTTGAGTTATGTGACCTAGAATAATTGGATGATTTGAAAAGGAAAAGGAAGGAAGAAGGAAGGAAATAAAAAAGGAAAGAAGTAGAGGGGAAGGAGAAGAAGGAAAAAAAGAAAAGAGAGATTCGGGCTTTTTATACCAAAAAGGGAATCAGTTAAGAGTTCTGTCCAGTGTGGCTAGGACTGGGTTTTTGTGGAGACCACAGCAGATACCATACCTCTGCTGGCCATGGTGCTGCTGAAGCTGTGTGAGGAAGTGCCCAGGACCTGGGGCCTCTACTGAGGGCTGGACAAGGCCTATGGAAAGGTCTGAAATACTATCATAAGGTATTTCTTCTGTGCCCAGACTTGCTGGGTGAGTGCTGCAAGTAAGATTTCACCCACTTCTTCCAGGTTTTTGGAATCCTGTACTCCACTCTGAATAACAAAGAAAAGAGCAGTGTGGAGGAGAAGAGGATGGAGGACTCCATTGTGTTCAACCAAGAGTCATAATCAGGATTGGGAGGATGATTAAAGGTTACTCTTGAGTATTCAGGCTTTTGAAGACATCAGAGTTCTGAGGAAGAGCTAGCTGACATTAAACAGGCCCATCTGTACTTAAAGAGTGATATGGCACAGGTCATGGAGTCTGCATTGTGTGTGCAGTAGTGCTGGCCCTGAGAAGGGACACTACTCATCAAGCCTTTGATGCCAGAGCAGCCCCATCCTATATGGATTTTATAAAAAAAAAAGAAAAAAAAATCAAAGCAAAAGATGAATGCAAAACAAAAGAGGTTCAGGAGGAAGCGGACAAAGAAGCAGAAAGGTGCACGAAGGTGTTAGGACTTGATGAAGGGGTAGGTCACTTGAGAGCAGTCATACAGAGTAGACAAAAGGATCAATCGGCAAAAGGAAATGGCCAATTTTCTGGCTCAGATGGAAGCAACGTGCTGCAAACCTTCCAAATGAGGAAGGAAAAATACAACTCTCAAAGAAAATAAAAAGTAGAATTTTTTTTCCTTCAAATTTCTTTTCTTAAAGTTGTTGCCACTGTCAACAAGTTACAGTCAAGATTTGAAACAAAAGTCAGTACAACCCTTGAGAAAAGTTGTTGCAGCTTAAATTATTTAGATTGATTGTAAACAAAGCAGAATTCCCACCCTGGCTTTAGTATATCCTAGAAGTTCCCTGACATTGTGTGAGGTCTTCATATATAGTGGTGGTTGTTGGAAAAGGGGTGGGTGGTATACTCCTGACAACATTTGCTCTAGCAAATTGTCTCTCCACTGATCTCTATGTAGAAAGCAGGTCTGTCGATGCTGCTTTTAGCAGTTGTTCTTTTTGCCACCCAGAGTAAGCTGAAGAGTAGTCAGAGTAATGTGAAAGTTTGTTAAAACAAATCCTGCCTAATTAAAATGCCTTCAGTGTACTTGCTGGGCATCTACCAGATACTAGCCTATTTTCTTCCATCTTAATGATCTTGAGCAGACCCATTCTTCTTTTTGCTTTACTTAATCAGGTTTTGTACTATTTGCTTGAGTATAGATTAAATAGATGTTGAGGCTTTTTCCAGGTGTCTTTGTAAGATTTATACATTATTAAACATAATTAAAAGATACAGAAAAAAAATGGGAAGAAAAGTGAAGGAACGATTTGGCTGGAAAAGTTTTCCACCAGTGAAATGACATCATATTTGGAAACATTTGATATTGTGAAAGAAGAATCAAGAAAATACTATCACCTAGTACCGGGGAACCACCCAGAACAGCTTAAGTACATAAACAGTTTTTTGTACTTTCCAAAATTGCCAGCATATGTCTGCAAATTTTAATGAAGAAAGCAGATGTACATGGAGGGCGGGTGTGGTGGACAAACTGCCTGTGTGGTGAGAAATTCAAAGGAGGGAGTTTTCCAGTCAAAAGTAATGTTTTAAAAAATGTCTTTAAGTATCTATAAAACTGAATTTAATTAAATTAAGTTTGAAAACTAAAAGTAATATTTCATATGTTCTAAATTATTAATCTTTTCTTAGTATGTATATGTAATATATTCACTCATGATTTTTATGAGATTTCTGAGGTGAGGAAAATACTAGTCTTTATGTGTAGATGGGTTCAGATTAAGCCAACTATTTATGGCGTTTAACCCTTCTTTAAAAATGTTATTTCATAGACTCTTTTAAACAAAACAATGCTTTTTAAAAGACATTAGAAATAATACACAATGGATAATTTTCACATGAATCTTTTCATTTTTTTCCTTCAAAATCATATTGTATGGATTGTATAGAACATGATTAAATTGATGATTGCAATTGTAATTTGATGACTAATTTTTTAAAAATTATTTTTGGATAGAAGAACTGGGTGTAGACCAGAGGTATGGTAGGTAAGAAGACTCACAGAGACAGAGTTGGTAACTGAACAGGCAGATATACAGAAACACACTGCTAAAAGGAGCAGTGGGTGAGAAAGGAGAGGTCTGCTGTGCCCAATATGGGTAGTTCTCTGGCCTGGAACCAAACTCAGGCTATAGTCGTGATAGTGCTGAGACTTAGCCCTAGTCCACCAGGAAGGTGTTATTACAGTAAATTTTTATAGAAGTACATTAAAATGAGTGAATTGATTTCTGATATGTTTGTGAATAATATACTTGCATATTTCTCATCTTTTACTTGTTTCCTGAATTACCATATAGTTCAAATGGCATGTGAGGTACATGCCCATGCTGTGTGGTTGTGCCATACAGATTAAATATAACTGTCTGCAATATCTGTGTAGCACAAAGATTCTCCCACGGTGATGAATGCTATACTTGTGTCAACAGCATTTGTTTCAGTTTTAGTACAATAGAACTATTTGGATAGAATGCCAAATATTTGGGTGGCATCTGGTGTAATAGTACTGGACTAATTACCTCATCTATTGTATACCGTCAGAGATTGTTTAGAGTCTTTAGAAAGCTTGAAAAATTTTAAGTTGACAATTTTGTACATTTTTGGCCATCAGTTTTAATATACACACGTTTTTCTTTTGCATTCATCTTGCCTTTTCAATGAAAAATTAATGACTATATTATTAAGAAAAATTTCAGCTGCTTCCTTTAAGCAGTGCTATAAAATTACAGCCAATGCTGATTTACCATACTTTCTCTCTCCAAGAAATAAAAAAACTACAGTTTCTGTAGAGAAATATAAGTAAAATTTTATTTCAATCATCATATGCAACTGTTATTTCAATCATCATAGCTTGTGAAGTCATTTTTTAAAAGTAATTTGGGAGAATTTTCCCTATGATGTGCCCACTATAGGGATATTTAAGGTTTGTTTGAGGTCTCAGCCCTATTGTAGCATGTTTACCTCTCTTTCCACATCCATCTCCCCACACCCTCTTCTCTACTCAAAACACAATGGGAGTCAACCTTTATAGATCAAATTGAGTGCTTAGTTACTCAAAGCAGGGAGGCACCCCTTTAGTTTATTGATGAGAGTTGTAGAATAGCTGTATTTGGGACCTTGTTCTAACTCTGTTTTAATCTACAGTCTTTCTTGTCCTGAAGTCAGTGCTCTTGAATCACTATCTAAAAGTCTGGTTATAGTAAGTAGAAGGGTTTTCTGAGTTTAGTGCCCTTGGTGAAACAGTATTTGTTTCCTGTGGCAATGGTCTTAAGAAGTCATTCTGGGCCCTCCCAAGCTGTGGCCATTTCAGTGCTGAGTTCAATCTGCACCCTGGAGGTGAACCATGGCACAGCAGATGTCTCACCTGCTGCTCCCCTCAGAAGTGTACTTTGTTGATCTGCCTGTTCTGCTCCATACTCTGTCTCTGGTGAATCCTTTGTCTGCCCCTTCATCTATGGCCTGTACCCCATTTCTGTATGTGTAAGTAAATAAAATCTTTTAAAAAAAAGTCATTTTGGCACTGTCCCATTCACCTTGGGAATCCATGCTGCATATATACTTTATTACTAAATTACTATTCAGCGTCAGCTCTTATTTACGTTGTTTTTCAAATTGGCTAAGTCTCATTAGCCAATTAAAACTGTTTTTTGTTGTTTGACATATTTTCTTACTTATGTATGTCTCTTCTGTTATTTGCAATATAATGAAGTGAAGTTACTTTTATGACTTACATGCCATTTTTTTTTTTTTTCATTTCTAGACATTGATGGGAGTGGCTTACTTTTGCTAATATAGTATCTGTTCATTTACTAGATTCTCCTGAATTATTTTGGAAACTATGTGCCTAATGCATGGACACAGGAAAAAGGCTGCACTCTTTGTGATTTGGATACCATTGACTTGTCTGAAGTTGATGTAAGTAGGATTGACTCCTTATGAATGTGGTTATAAAAAGTTTCATATCATGAATTGCAGAGATTTGCAAATAGGAAAAAGGTCACCTTATTCTATAGTTTTGATGTTATTATAGTGGATTTATGAAAAATAAAACATACTAAGAAAATTGCTAGATTTATATATTTCTGAACTACTTTGAAAACAAAACCCACTAGTAATTTACCCACATAACAGTGATTTGGTTGTTAATATTTAATCACTTACTATGCTTGGGTGCTCATGTTTTATTTTAAGCAGCTACCTAAGTCAAACACTGAGAAAAAAATATTTATATACCTCAACAACGGTGTTGATTTATTTTATTTGTGCTTAATTTTTTAATTTAATGATTTAAAAATAATACATATTTATTAAAGAGGAACTTAAGCATTTAACTTTTAGTAACCCTTTAACATCAGAACATCTCCCATGTCAGTAGTACTTTTGATTGTTTTACAGATGAGATAAAGTATCAACATGTTACCTCCCTTACTTAAGTGCACATAATTTTTTAAGTGTTTGAAGTGGGGTTTTAATTTAAGTAATATGGCTCCAGTTCCCAGGCCCTTGAACAGTTACACCTTTGCTTGGATGTTACAAACATAGTATATGCCAGGTGTGGTGCTACTTACATATTTTAAATACTTCACAGAGAATTATTATCTGTAGTGTTTCATCGATTCTTTGAGAGCCAGTGAGCAACTTAAAATGTTTATTATTTACTAAAAAAAAAAAACATATTTATGAATTGTCTATCATTAACAAGAACTGTTTTAGTATGTCCATAGTAACTAAAGCTCCTAAATTAGGAGCTTTCCATTTTTGTTGCTTTCAGAAAGGAGAAAGAGTAACTTTTGCACATTGAGGAACTTCCGTATAGGGCCTATTTTACTTGAAATAAAATTGTGTCTTTGGCCAGTCTCTCAAATAACAAACTGAATGTTTCCTATCTGGAAAGAATGTCAACATATTTCTGCAATATGAAGTTGTTTAAAGATTCATTTTGATCTTTTTTGCAGAAAGTATTATATTCTGGAGTAATAGTAAATACTTTTTAACTGGTTTCTACTTACTAGTATAAAGATACAAATATATATTGTATTTTTCATATTCAAAATTTTTATCTATTTCTTTTCATGGACAAGTAAATCACTTGATTATTAAATTGTTTTTTTGGTACAGTCTATCAAATATGCTAGAAAGGAGGCCATCCATTCTATTATAAAAATAATTCCCCATGTGTTTTATGTGTTGTTGTAGAGCTAGAGATGAAAAAGAGATAAAATTAAAATGCTTGATGATTTAAATTGTTGCTGTTTAATAATGCTATTAATGTATTGTTACAATATCAGATCTGTTCCTAGATGTTGATCACAGGTAACTTACTTTATATGTAAAAATAATAGTGGATAGCTCAGAGAATTGATAGGGGGATTAAATGAAATTTTATAGATATATCTATAAAATTATATTTATATGCATAAATATGTGAAATACTGAGTACTCATTTAAGGTAGACTACTATATTGCTATCATTGGTGTATACAATTAACTTTAAGTATAGATATGTAGCATGTTGACATCCAGCTCTTTATTAATTCATGTTTTCCAGGTTTTTAGTTTCTCTAAATCCTATTTTTCTTTGTGTAAAGTTAATGCATCATCTCACTTGATATAAAGAAGATTTGTAATTTACTTTTTACTTATTGTCCCTAGTAAGCTGAAGAATCCCAGAGAATAGATGTTTTGCCTATAGTTGCTTGGTAATTTTTTTCAATGATTTGTTTTTGTTTATTTATCCATACAAGAACTGCAGTATAGACTAGAGATGCAGGGATGGGGAGTGTGAGAGACAGAGTGGGGAGCACAAGAATAGGATCTACTGAAATACTCTGCAGAGGGGAGCAATAGGCGAGACAGTAGAGGTCTACTTGGCCATGTGGGTTAGATCCCTGGCTGGGAATAACTTGATTGCTTTGAGACTTAATCCCTGTGCCACCAGGAGAATCCCTCATTATTTGTTTCTATTTGTTTAATCATTTATTAATGATCATTTGGATGAGTATATGAAAGGATCAAGAAGCACAACAGTGTACAAGTTATACTGAAGGGCAAATACTGCTATAGTACAGCTAAATGAGCAGCATATCACTTCCAATGTGTGAAGGTATCTACTTAAATACTTAGCACTTAAGTCATCTATAATTTTTAAATTCAGATTTTAAAACATGGTTTCAAAAAGATTATAAAGAAATCTTTCATATAGTTCTAGTAATAATATGACTATGTGGCCATTTATTTAAGTTTGTCTTTCTATACCTTTGTAAGGTTTTCAAATCAGGAAATTTCACTCCATTTTCTAAATGTCTTCATAACAAGAACTGACAGCTGTAATGACTATTACAGAAATTTTTGTGCAATTAATAAAAGGTTAAACAAATAGACTCATAAAATATGGCCAAAGAAGATTTAAGAAAACATTTAAAAATACTTAAAAATTTATATAAATGAAAGAAAATAGCTTTTCTTATGTATAAGAAGATTAAATAATATAAAGTACTATCAGTAAATTAAGGAGATACTCAAGGATGAAAAATGAAGGCTCAAGTCTGCTATGATTGCTTTATTTGAACTAAAAATTAAGTACAGGGCTTGCAAGCCATGGGGAAAAGAAAGGGAAACATAGTTAGCATTCTGGTTTCTTAAATGCAGCTGTCAGTATACATTCAGATTTGAAGGAAGTTCATCAGTAGAAAGAAATAATTGAATAATAAAGAAGGCAATAGGCTTTATTATATCCATATAATAAATGTGGCAGTGTTTCCTTTATAAACCTAACTCATAATACCATGATGTAATTGAATAAAATCAGTTTGATGGGTTCATGAAAATGTATTTATAGTGTTAGAAAACTGTTATAGAGAAATTTAAATTTGGCAGTTTATGCTGAACAGATATTCTAGCATTTTGTATTGTACTGAATAAGATTTAAATAGTATTTAAAATAATACCACACTGATGAAAATTTGTCTTTTTGTTTATTTACTATAAAACAAAGGTCTATCCAAATGTAACCATTGGTGTTTTTATTGAGCAACCAACTCCTTTTCTACCTCGATTTCTGGACAGACTGTTGGTACTAGATTACCCAAAAACAGGACTTAAACTCTTTATTCATAACAAAGTAAGTTCTTTATTCATAACAAAGTAAGTATTTGAAAAATAAATATGTGAAACTGTTTTTGATCCTCTTTCAAACTATTTGCTACTATTTATGTCTAAAAAATCTACTGGGTTTAAGTCATGGAATGGGTTTTGAAATTATTACTGCTATTGACTTTTCAGTAGCTAAGAATGTTAAAGTGTAGAAACTAGGTTTGTAATATTGAAATGAGTCATACAAAACCACATTTTTGGTATAAAAATGGTTGAATATCATTCATTTTTATATGACTCAATATATAATAGAGAAATGTCAAAGGGCCTTGCATTCCTTTGCCGTTGGGTTAGTTCAGGTGCTGTTTTTTTCTTCTTTGTTTTTATAAAGCGAGTCATTAAATTGTTCACAACTTCTACAGATACCATAACATCAGGACTTGAAATAGCTTTCAGAAAGTATATTGTTTTACTAATAATACTTGGTTTACTCTTCCCTCAAAAAAAATTTGATATGATCATTGTCTTCAAAAAATTCAGTTTCCCAAACATAAAGCTATTTATATTATATAAATATTTCCTTAAAGATATTTCCCTCAGTATATTTCCTTTTACTTGCTTCCCTGTTGAAGCAGTTGACATTTAAGATCGTCTGGTGAAACTCAGTCTGTAAAATAAGCCCTTTTTATTCTTTTTTAACATTTGTTGTCGAACAGGTTTTTTGTTTTTTGTTTTTAAATTTCTTTCTTAATGTATCTGTCAGCTAAACATTTGCCTTTTCCAGAGAATGTTTAAATTTGCAGAAAATATGTTGAAATTAATATAGAAGGGTGAATTGCTGAATATTTGAATTATAAAAATGTGTTGTAATACACATAATTATATTTAAGTGTTTTTGGTTTTATGTATTTTGTTTATTTATATTCTTCTCCTTTCACAGGAGGTAGGCATTTTTATCTGCTCTTCTTTAACAGTCAAGTCTATATAGTTTTTATGTGATTAAGTACTTTTGAGAAACTAAAATCTTTCAAAATTCTTAGTAGAACTTTGTACATAAAAAGTTATGAAATGCTTTTCATGAAGTATTTCATATGCTTGGAGACAGCTAATCCTATTTAATTTTTAGCACAGCACTGTCACACAAATTTGGTGATCATTATGTGGTGAATTTCTCTTTGTATTTCCCTATCAGTAAAATTTTGTTATGCTCTCCTTTCTTGTAAAAGCACATCTTGTATGTAACCATGAATTTTTATCTCTAGATTGGCAAAATACTAATTTTATATAATCTTATGAAGTTATTTTATATTTTTAAAATTTAATATCTATTAAGTTTAATAGACATCTAAATGGATATTTTACAACACATGTTTAAGATTCTCTTGGTACAGCCATGTTATCCCTCATGTTAGAAATATTTTATAGCACTGAGGATTTGAATTTCTGTGCAAGGATCAGTATAGCAGATTTTAAAATAATTTTGAATTACCTCCTCTTTAAAAAGTACTGAATTTTAGCTAACTTAAATTATTGACATTTTGGTGATATTCAAATATCACATGTTTAATGTGGTTGTCATTAGTCTGTAATTTTCATAGTTTTCTTTTAATATGTGTATGTGAACATCACAACTTCACCATCCCTACTTATCAATATTTTAGCCATATTATTGTCCTCTTTTTTTTCTAATTTTCATTTTTTAAAATATATTACAGGAAGTTTATCATGAAAAGGACATCAAGGTATTTTTTGATAAAGCTAAACATGAAATCAGTTCTATAAAAATAGTAGGACCGGAAGAAAATCTAAGTCAAGCCGAAGCCAGGAACATGGGAATGTATGTTTTAATAAATTTAAATAATTTGTACTAAAGATCTTAAATTTTTGTTTTAAAAATTAGTACCTTAAATCTGGATGTCAACTATGTGTGTGTGTGCATGTGTGTGTAGGTACATGTATGTGTGCTCACTCATAACTTTGCACATGTGATTGGGTGTATATACTTGCAAAGAGGGCCAAAAAAGTTTTTTTTTTTCCTTCTTTATGGCTAAATGTCAACAAATTTAATACTACTAATTGAATATTATCAAATTTCAAAGAAATACTCAGGCAAGTAAGAATATGGCTAGTGTTAGCAGTGACTTAAGTGCTTAGTATCTAAAGATTGTGTGGTAAAAGGTGCGATTCAGATTGTGGAGGGCGGAAAGGGCATTATTTATTTTTAGTTAGCTGCTGGTCTAGATTAAATTAGTTTAGGTTTTAGACTCTTCAAAACTTCAGGTAGACTACTAGTAAATCTAGCACTATGGAGCTACCATAGCCACTGCAGCACAAGTTCGTTCCCTGGGCAGGGAGGGGGCCCACATGGCGTGGCAGACTTCTTCTGACCCTCAGCAGTGTATGTCACTCAGTCCCCTTGTCCTGTTTCCCTTTTTGTCTCTGGTGAATCCTCTCACCCCCTGTATCTCTGGCCTAACTCGAGTTCTGTATGCATACATAAATCTTATACACACACACACTTGTAGCGGCAAGGTTCATGTAAAGTTAAATGGTTGGATATATGAGATTTTGCATTCTGTGTGAGTGATTGCAACACATTTTTGATTTATGGAAAAAGTTGTTGATGAATTTATTTCAGTAAATGATTTCCCTCTTTAAAAGATAATTAAATTTTAATTATAAATTGCCATTTTCTAACAGAAGTGGATTTTTTTTTTTAAATACCTGAAAGTAATTATTTCACCTGGCTTACAGGTTTATTGTTGATCTACTTATGAACATCTGTGTTGATGAACGTAGCCATTTTAAAAATTAAGACAATAGCTCTTTGGATATTGTCTTACTATTTTGATTAGAAAAAGTATATCAAAGAAATTTATATTATATATAAACTTTATGTTAACAGTATTATTCAGTAATGTTTGTTTCACCTAATTCTTTTTTTTCATTTATGTTTCAACCTCAGGGATTTTTGCCGTCAGGATGATAACTGTGAATATTACTTTAGTGTGGATGCAGATGTTGTCTTGACAAATCCAAGGACTTTAAAAATTTTGATTGAACAAAACAGGTATTATTTAAGATTCCTTGTGAATTTAAATAATGTTAGTCATTTTCTACATCTTTGTGGACACCTTATAATACTTTTACCCATATTTAGCTATTGAAACCTCATGTTGTTATTTTCTATACTTTATAAAATGCTTATTTTAGTTTATTTTATATAAAACAAACTATATATAAAATCAAATGTAAAAATATGATAACACTTAAAATATTTAATATTAGTTATGATTACAGATATATGTCTTATTACTTAGAGTTAGTTGAAGTAATGATATGGCTTTTCACTTAAAGCTAGTTGAAGTAATGATATGGCTAATAGTAATAAAATTTCGAATTGTTTTATTTTTAAAATATTTTTTTACCAAAAATATTTGTAGATATTTTTAAAAAATGGCATAATTTACACCTGAAGACCTGGGGTCTATGTTTCAGAATAATATATAAATGTTATAAGCAAATGTTACCTTAATAAAAATAATATTAAAAATGTCTGCCAGGAAAATAATTAAAAAAGAATTTCATAAAATTTCTGATCTAAATTTTACTGCAAATAGAGTTGCAGTTATAGGGTTTGAAATAAATTTTAGAGATAAAAATTATTCCATAGCCATATCTGTAATTTTATTTAATACTGAACTAATTGACAATGGGAGGTACCTGTTTTCATTAAATGGGTAAAAATGAAATACCAAGTTTGTCAGTGTATAATAACATTAATTTGCTAATATTAATTATCCTCTAGTAGAAATTTTTAATGAATACTTACTAAGTGCCAAGTATTGTTCGAAATATTTTATGTTTTAGCGCCATTTTTTGTCATGATGGAATGGTTATCAGTGACCTGTTAGAATTAATCTTCTTCTTTTACTGAAAGGAGCACATAAGAATTCTATTATGCTTTGCTAACCCACTTTATATATGAAATGTCAATTTGTGATGTGTTAAAGAATCTAAGACTTCTCAATATTAATCTGTACATGCAATCTACTATTTATCTTACCACGTGTTCAAGTTTTATTCCTTCAGTTCTACAAAGCATACTATCATGACCTACCTGTTATTTTGTGTTTCTATACTCAAAAACGTTGAGGCACAAAGCAAATTGATTTTGATTTTCAGTATTTCTTTGTCTACCACTCTACTAGAAATAGCTGGAGTTATAAATTACAGTATTCCCTTCTACCAAATATTTGACCTTGTTAGTTAATGAAGTTAGTTAAATCACCAATTTTTAATTAATACTATGTAGATTTTCATTTATGATATCATTTCTAGTATTGTAGATATTATAACCAAAACAAAATAGGTGTTCTTTGTTAATGATTCATCATAATAGGAATGAGGGGAAAATAAGCCAATTTTTTTTTCTTTTGCACAACATATTTATTTGTTTCCCATGGTCATGTTTACCATTTCTGTTGGTAAGAGAAAGGGCAGACCTAGTCTTCGCAGGATTTGGTTGGTCCATAAGCTTCCTCTTGAGTACTTTCATAAGCTAGTCTTAAAATTAGTTAACTGAACTGAACTCTACTATGGCTCAATTCATTTTAGAAGCTAATACTGAGGAATTTCATATTTTATTCTTACTTGGTAAATGTTGGCAGATTACTAATTACATTTCCCCAAGGTTAAATCTAAAATCTTTTAAATTGAAACCTGATCTATTTCAAGGGTACCACTTTCTGGTAGTAGTGAGAAATAAAACTGTGGCTGTTACCCCAGCTGTGTTTTTAAAAATGAAAACAACAGTGTTGCTTAAAGTAACACAATTTATTTTAGAATTTGTAAAGCAAAATTAATATTTTAATGTAATTTGGGATAATAATTTAGAAAACAAACCTACTGGCAAATACTTGAACCTATCTTCATTCATTTTTATCCATTAACACATATTTATTGGATACCTTCTTTATTGCACCTTACCACCTATTATGTCTACACAGTGACAATGAAAATACTAGATTTCACTTAATATAATTTGTACCATATTTGAAAGGTAGTTTTACTTTTTATTTTTTTTATTTTTTTAGTTATAAGTAAAGAACTTTTAAAAGTCATTTAGACTATGAGTGCTTTGGTGGTTGGTATGATATTCTAGCAATGTCTGAATGGAGAATACTGTACTTCCTAACTACAAACAATGATGAAACCAATGTTACCTCAATAATTTTTTCTTAAGATCATTTTTATGCTTTCATTAGTATTTTTAATTACTTTTGTTTTGTTTGCTATTTTTTTTTTCTCTAAGAAGCATCATTTAATGTCAACTGTGGACTTATTTAAGCAAAAGTATTGAAAAGACATTCTTCCTTTTTATTACTTTTAGTTTTTTTAGACTAATTGCACAAGTATTGAGTGGTCTTTATTGTGTTCTTTGTTATACTAAGCCCAGAACACATAATCTGTGGCAGTTTACAAATAAATAATTACCTGGATTTGATTTTTTTACACTCTTTCACTAGAAAGATCATTGCTCCTCTTGTAACTCGTCATGGAAAGCTGTGGTCCAACTTCTGGGGTGCATTGAGTCCTGATGGATATTATGCTCGATCTGAAGATTATGTGGATATTGTTCAAGGGAATAGAGTGTAAGTGACTTGATTTAGTATTTTAATTAAAAATAGTATGATCTTAAAATGTGATCTTGTTTACATAATTTATTTATTACTTTTCTTCATGTGTAATGGGAATTTGAAAATTCATTGGTCACTTAGGATCCTGAAATACCATTATAAAATTAATATTTTATAAATTATTTTTCAAGTTTAAAAGAATGAACTTCACGGAAAATGGGTAGCCATTTTATGGATATTAGGAAATAATATGCTTTATTTAAAACTTTGGGAAATGGAACTTAGGTTCTTTAATTTATTTAGTGAACAGGATGAAGTTTGTTTTGATAGCTTCTAAAGCTGATAAGTAAACCAACAAGAACAGCATCAACAATTAATGCCTACCCACATTTTTTCTGGGATAGGAGTTTGCTGTATGAAATATATCATATTCCACTTTAAAGATCAATTTTTATAACCTGATTTCCTTGTTTAGAATTTTAAAAATATATACTCATATTACAAAATGTGAGCATAATTGATACTTGTGTATGAAGTAACAGTTGTTTTTAACTAAAATAATCATAATTGAAGATTGTTTTTTGCTCAGATAACATTAAGACTGACTTTTTTTTTCATACATAAAAGGCTAAGATATATCATCACAATTAGAACTGAAAAATATTCCTTCATGACTGGAAATATGGGCACTTAAATTTAGGGGGACAAAAATCATACACTTGTCGCTGAACAGTTGCATGGTAAAAGATGTTTTGCTTGCAAAACTAGTAATAGATGTGAACATAGTAATAGTAAATTTGAATGATATACATATGAGAAAGGTTTTTGTTAGCTGCAGATAAGAAACAGCTGAGAAAATACTGCTGAGGTCAAATTTTATTATTTCAAATACTTTTGTTGACTGGGATAATTTATATGGGGACTATACACTTGATATCAGCTTGGTATAGCAAAAATAAGCGTTCACAAAAAATACAATAAAGAACTATTGTCTTATTTAAGTTGCTTTAAGCACTGATGATTTCCTGTTTGCCCTCCTGTCTTTGTTGTATAAAGTATAAGGGAAATAGTATGGCAGAGGTTTTTGATTTACTTAATAAAGGAATACACTTCATATCCAAAACTACATGAAGGGATGTCATCTTTTGAAACAGGTACTTGTATTTTTCTTCAAAATTGAAATACTACAGTCTACCACTGATTACTTTTTTAGTTCAGCTGATAAAATCTGTACAGCTCATCTTTTAAAGATTTATTTTATTTTTTTCATAGGGGAACTAGGGTGTAGACCAGAGGTTTGGAGGATGAGAGGATTCATCACAGAGTGAGGAACAGAACAGGCAGATCTACCAAAATACACTACTTACAGGAGTAATGGGCAAGTAGTAGAGGTCAGCTGTGCCATATGGGTCAGCTTCCTGGCCAGCTCCCAGGCTGTGCTGGTAAGCCATGGTGGTGATAGTGTTGAGACTTAACCTCTAGGCCACCAGGGATGCCCCCCAAAATCCACATTTAAATAACCATACTCTTTGAGATTCATGTAGTAAGATAAAATAAGATGCATTCCTTTTAGTGATAACCTATATGTGAAATAAACAAGTACAGATTTAGGAAGTGAAGCTAAAGATCAGCTCTGGGGAGCCAGAGTGAGTTGGCTATGGCATACCATCAGTTATATGTGATTATTTTTGCTATCAAATTATTTAATCTTACATTGCTAAACTTTCTGTATAACAGTATTTTCCCTAAATATCACAACAAATTTAGGGACACCAACCAACATGTCAACTGTATTGCAAGCAAAAGTTGAAATTTTCTAGGGAGATACTAACTTAGCTCACAAAAATAGAGTATAGACTAAGTTATTAAGTAATTTCATATATGTGTTCTATGTATATTGTGCTTATATATATTTGTTGGCTGTCTCAAATGTGTTTGTATTTGCAAATAATCCAATAGTCATCTATACAGCATTTATAAACACATAATTTATGTTTAAAACATTCAATATTTTTGTACTTATGGGATTTTAGAATATCTTCTCTTTCCTTTTAGAGGGATATGGAATGTCCCATACATGGCTAATGTGTACTTAATTAAAGGAAAGACACTGCGATCAGAGATGAGTGAAAGGAATTATTTTGTTCGTGATAAATTGGATCCTGATATGGCTCTTTGCCGAAATGCTAGAGAAATGGTAGGGTATAAGATGATGACTTGCTTGAAAGATCTTTTAAAATGGCTTGCTTTACCAGTTGATATGTCATCGTGTTTTTGATATCTTTGTCTAATGTGTAAGTACTAGCCAATTTTTTTTTGGTTTTGTCTTGAAAATTTGGGGACAATTATAAAGAATACTTTGAAAATGTTGGATATGATGCTTAGGCTAACTCACAAACACTAGGATTTTAGCAGTAAACACGGATTTGTTACATATCAGCTTTGCATTTCTAAGAATTCAACTTTATTTTCATTTGAAATTACAGTGAAGACGACCTAATTAACCTTGATTAAGTAAGGCTAGGTGAAATGATCACTTACCTAAGCATAAGAACCCATTTTTGTTCTGAAATATATATCAATATTTTCAATATCATTATTAACATCACATTCTTAAAAGAAGTTTCTTTATCACTAAAGTGATGAGGATTAAGAATATAAGGTTAGGATAGACAATATATATAAATGTTATGATATATTGGGTTACTGAAACAATACTTTCATTTTAAAACTTGAATGACTGGAGAATTTTTTTTTCAAAATGTATAGATATTTAAAATTTACTTTAAGATTTTCTATCATCTAAAATGATAAGATTATTCAAATTTATCTGAACAAATGTGACAGAGAAAATCAGAAAAGTTGGCAAGTATTTTTCTTTCTGTTTTTAATAAGGCATGTATTGTTTGAATATTTGTTTTTCCTATAAATCTTTCTGCACTATTTCATCGAATATCCTCAGTACCTGTGATTGTGATCTGTGCTCATGTTCAGCTAATTGACTCAGTGGTGCATACTGGAATGGCCTCTCACACATTTTTTCCTTTGTCTTAAGTTTGTGTCTAATGAAAATTCTGCTAAGGAATGAGCTTGAATTTATGTTTGAAACTCCTCTCCCCACCAAAAAAAAAAAAAAAAAAAGAAAGACAGAAAGAAAGGGCTGGAGTTGTGTGCGCTCTAAGCTTTGCTTGTTCTGCATGTTGTTTTTAAAGCGCATTTTGGAATGTCAGCTTCTGATCAGGGCTTCTGTTTTTATTTACCTAAAATTCTGAGAGAGTGGGTTTGCAGGTCAACTTATCCAATGCTTCTCTTCATTTTAGACTTTACAAAGGGAAAAAGACTCCCCTACTCCGGAAACATTCCAAATGCTCAGCCCCCCAAAGGTGTTATTTTTATTTACTTTTATTATTTTTGTTTATTTAATACTAGATATGGTATTACCTTGCAGTAAAGTTTCTCCAAAGATTCCTGTCCAATTAGCTTGGTAAAATGTTGGTAATTATTGATTTTCAACCTATACATGTGTGTGTGTATGTTTTGGGCATTGGAAGTGACCACTGTGTGATATTCACCACTTAGTTCTTTGGGCTGATTTACTTTATATGATTGATATGTTTGTGGATTAGAGGATTAAACCCAATTCTGTTTCACTAGCTATTCCAGTTTATGTTTTTGTTTTTTTTTTTAAATATAGCTACATATCGATTAAAATGTGATTTGGATACTTTTACTATTTAAAACAGGTACAGGAAGAAACTTCTTAACTTTAGTGATATTTGCCACATTTATTCGGTATGGGGCAAAGAGATAAGACTTAGTTTCTTTCGCTGCTTTATTATGTATGAGTAATTACTGTGCTCAGATTTTAAAATTTAAGATGAACATTTAAAATTAACTGATTAAATAATATTTGCATTTGAATTCTTATTTAAAAGCATGATGATTTTAAAAAGAAAAAAGCGAAAAGAGGTAAAATTCATTGCATTTTGTTGTCTCAAAAAATATTTCTCCTTCCAAACAGGAATTTTTTCCCCCAGATGTCTACATCTAGCATCAATGAGAAAGGGACAAAAACAAAAACAGTCCATTCTTCCTCTTCTTTTTTTCAGTTGAGTGTCAGTGCTATCAATTAGTTTTGTGTGGTGTCTGAGTACATAACTAAGTTTCATTTTTTATTAAATCATGCATGGTTTATATGAAAGAATAAAAATGCATGTTCACAAAGTAAATATAAAAGTTAACAGTAATATCTTCTATATGATTTTCATATGGTTAGATGTATTTTTGGCACTTTTAAGATTGCTAATTCTGATGTGTTTTGGTGTTTAGGGAATGTTTATGTACATTTCTAATAGACATGAATTTGGAAGACTATTATCAACTGCCAATTACAATACCTCCCATTATAACAATGACCTCTGGCAGATTTTTGAAAATCCTGTGGTATGTATTTTATACTCAACTGTATTTATCATTTATTTTCCCATAGCTCTAAAGGGATATAAGCCAACTGTTATAATAACAGGAATTTGGTTTGAAGCTTTTTTTTTATTTATATTATCTTTAAAAAGATACAGTAAATATAAATTAACTACATAATCTGCAAAATACTTCTAAACTTCATTTTTTTAAAAAAAAAGTGTACTTAATTTGGAAATGGAATCATCAATTTCTTTGATTTATTCTAATATTTCTGTCTTATATGTTCAAAAACACCACTGATTTTAATCACAATTTCAGAAAAAGATGTTTGCAGGTAATTCACATGTAACACTACATTCTGATTTTCAGGAGGAAATCATACATGTTAGCTTGCAAAATACACTTAATACAGTCACTTGATAAAATAAGTAGATTATAAAACTTTTGTCACTGTGCACCAAAGAAAACTAGAGCAAATTGCTAGCTATGTGAACTCAGCATATAAAGAAAGTCTTAAGGAAACTATCTTTAGACTCTAAATGTGTTTCCCTTAAGGTTTTGAATTATACAAGGAGTAACTATTTTTTTGTTTTGGTGAGCCCTGATTTCGTCAAGTTGTCATATTTATCCAACAGAAAATACTCTCTTGAGTAATCATCTTTGTAATAATGTTATTTATGAAGATTTTCCCTTTGCCACAGAAAAAGCTACAAATTAAAAAGATAGGATCAACTTGTTCAGAATTACCTTTTATTTTATGTGGGTATTTGATGTTTGGGAATAATAACAATAAAACTTAAAGTTCTCTTAACACTCTTGTCAGGAAAACAAGAGTATCTTTTGACTTCTTTTTTTTTTATTTAAAAGGTGCTTTTTTCCATTTTAGTTTTATATCTTCATAGTTCTTAGCAGTAGAATTGAAAGAGGATCTTTTTTATGGTTAGGTGCAATTACAAATTTCACATTAGCACTAAATTTTTTGGTACTTTGAGGCACAGAGTTATTTGATTTCTTGGATAATATCATCTTCCTGACAACAATGGCCAAATTATATCTTGACTTAATAGACATTAATATAAGAATTCAAATTTTTAGAGTATGCGATAAGAATATAAGAAATTAATGGGATTGCTTTTCTTTCCCTATTTTTTTGCTTTGTCTTTCATAAATAAGCTTTGTCAGTATACCTTTTGAGGGATATTTCATAGCAAATATTTAATGATTTCTCATTATCAATCAGCACTTAAAAGAAATTAGGAAAAGTCACACAGTTAATGCACTATATGATAGTGCATTCTAAATTAAAAAAAAAATGTTAATACCTTGACGTAAAATCTTAGGAGGGTTTTCTTAATTTAATTTTATTTTTTAAAGATTTATTTATTTATGCATACATAGAACTGGGGTACAGGTGAGAGGTCCAGGGGTGGTAAAAGGATTCACCAGAGACTGACTGGGGAGCAGAACAGGCTGACTGATGAAGTACACTGCTGAGGGGAGCAGCAGGCGGGTCAAGAGAGGTCTGCACCAACATGTGGGTTATCTCCACGGCAGGGATCGAACTCATGCTGAAGTGGCTTTAGCTTCTTAGTGCTGTGCTTTAACCTGCTGCGCCACCAGTGAGGGCCCAGTTTTTCTTTATTTTCAAAAAAATCAATGATGCATAGGAAAAAAATGTATAACACTTCTTAAATGTTATGGATAACTAATTTTCCCTCATATTTTTTAATCAGAAAAGTAATCAATCAAAATAAGATAGTAAGGTAATAGGGGTTCTCTGAAAGTGGCCACAAAAGATGTATTTTAGACAAATATTTTTTGAAACATATTTTGATTGCAATTATTTTGAGTCCTACTTCAGTTCTTTCCTGTTGGCTCCCTATATTTGTACTTTGTAAAGAGAAAATTAAGAATTATGCTAAGCAATCTAAATAGATCTAGGAAGAGATCTTTTTGGATCCCAAATTACTGAATATATGCTGGATTTTTTTAAAGTTCTATGTTGATTTTTTTTTTGTTATTTTTAAAAACTTTAAAAAATATATTCATTACATCATCCTTCATTTTTGTACAATGTTTGATTTCCCTGTGAAATTTCCACCACCATTCACCCATGCACCATCACCATAGTCCCTTGTGCTCTTCCCATTCCTATCCTGGATTTTTAAATAAAATACTTGACCAGTTTTGTAGGCCCTGACACAAAAGAATGAATGATTTGTCCTTTGGGGAAAAATTCACCAAAGAACACTATTTGTAGGGTGAGGAATTATTAAAGAGGCATATAAATGAGGGCACCGCTATGGGAAAAGAGAATATGACCTGGCTTCCTGGTCCTTTATTTTTAAACAAATGGTCCCAAGATAAACTGATACCCTTTGTGGAAACATGAAAAATGTTGGAAGAGATTATGCTAAGGGTCATAAGGAAAAAGATAAATATCAGGTGGCTTCACTTACATGCGTGAATCAAACAAATCAAACAATGGGTCATAACAAGACAACATTTGCAAGCTAATCATAGACCTGAGGCATAATTCAGGGGAGGAGGGGAAATGGAGTCAGGACAAGGAAAGGATAAGCAAAGGGACTGAGCAGTGGATCCCAGGTCCCATGGCTGGTGGGAGAACTATAGCGACTACATCAAAGAGGAGAAATCTGTACTGTCCATTAATCAACAGCTACATAAGAAACAAAAAATGTAATGAAAAATGTAAGTGAACAGATGCTCCTGGTGCTGCTGACCTACTCCGCAACTCATGGACTTAGCCTTGAAATACGAACCCCTAGGTATATGCATTGAACGTATTGTAGCATCCATAAAATTACTCAAGTTTTACAACCCTGTGGTATATGTGGTGGTTTTGAGAATTCCTGTTTTGTTTACTACAGTTATTATTATCATTATTATTTTACCTAGGAAGTTCTTTCATTTATATATATATATTTTTTCATTTATATATATATATATATATATATACACACACATATAATATTAAAACATTTTTTTACATCACTCTTCATTTTATGCATTTTTTCATCTCATCTGTAATTACCATGGACTTCCCACCACCAGTTCACCTCTGTGCCATCACATAGTCCCGTGTACTCTTCCCACCCCCAATTTTGATCCCATTCCCCTTTCCACCCCTGTAAAATGTCTCTGGTTTGTAATTGTTTGTTTTTACCTTTTTTTTTTTTTTCTCCCCTGGCCCTTTATGCTCTTGCTATGAGTGAAACCATCCAGTATTTTTCTTTTTCTTGCTGGGTTATTTCACCAAGCATGATCCCTTCCAGTTCTATCCATGTTGCTGCAAAACACACACACACACACACACATATATGTTTGCTGAGTAATATTCCATTGTGTATATGTATAACATCTTTTTAATCTAGTCATCATTTTTGGGCATTTGGTTTCATCCCATGTCTTCCCGACTGTAAATAGAACAGCAACGATAGTTATTTAAAAATTCAGTGATTTCTGGGCCCTCCCTGGTGGCGCATTGGGTTAAAGTACAGCACTAGGAGGCTAAAGCCACGTCAACATGAGTTCGATCCCCTCTTATCCAAGAGGTGACCCACATAGCACGGCATACCTCTCCTGACCCGCCCACTGCTCCTCTCAGCATTGTACTTTGTCAGTCAGCCTGTTCTGCTTCCCACTCTGTCTCTGGTGAATCCTCACACTGCCCCTGCAATTCTGGCCTGTACCAGTTCTGTATGTATAAATAAATAAATCTTAAAAAAAAAAAAATTCAGTGATTTCTAAAATGCTTATAAGTCATATATTCTATGGAAATATTTATAAAAAGGTAATTTGTTTTCATCTGTGCACTTGATTGTTTTGTAGGACTGGAAGGACAAGTATATAAACCGTGATTATCCAAAGATTTTCACTGAGAATATTGTTGAACAGGTTTGTATGAGTTATTGCTAGGATGTCTAAAGCATTTTTTGCTATTTTCCAGATGAGATTATTTTACTGCAATACTGCTTTAACAAAGTTTTTGTGAAACTACATATCACTGAATTCATATGACTAAATTGTTCGTTTCAGCAGACTTAAGGATTAGGTTGTTATAAAAATGTAGAGCAAGGAAATTAAGAATGATATTTAGATAACACATTCTTTTTAGGCACAATCTGAATATTGTAGTTCTGAAACCACTAAAATAAAGAACATGGGCAGATCTCTGGCACCAGTTTTGTTCAGTAAAGGTTTATTTTTTTTTTTAAGGAAATGGGGATCCAAGAATCTGTTCAGAGACGTCTTTTAAAAATTAACTATTTTAGTGTTCCAAGTAGTACCTCATTTCAGAAGAAGTGAAGCATCTTCAAGTATGAAATAATACTACAAACCTAAGATAATTATTTTCTAATCATTTAGAGTTTTTTATCTTAAACATAATGGAAGAGTTATATTAGGATTTTTAAAGCAAATATTTCATCATATATCCTAGTGATTTTTTTTTTCATTTCAATCGCAAATTAGAGCCATTTGAAATAAGTCACTTTAAAATGCATTTTAATTAAATTTTCAGCTCAACAAATGCAACCACTAAATTTGGTTAAGCCTGTACATACACAAAAATACACAATGAAGATGGAATGAAAAGTATACCTGTACTGTGATCTTACAACTACATCACAGTGGCTGTCTGATCATTTCTCTAATACCTGTCTTGATTTCACAGATGTTTAAATTGCAAAAAAAAAAAAAAAGTTAGAGTTACAAAGAAAAACCATATTATATTGTTTATAAATATAATTCCAATAATAATGACATTAATGTTATCACCTTAACAGTAATGCCTTTTTTTTTTTTTATAGCCTTGTCCAGATGTCTTTTGGTTTCCCATATTTTCTGAGAAAGCATGTGATGAGTTAGTGGAAGAAATGGAGAATTATGGCAAGTGGTCTGGGGGTAAACATCATGTAAGTTGTAATTTTACACACACATACACACACACACACAAATACCCTAAAATGCATATGTAGGGGGGTGGAATAATAGATATAAAATTCAGAGGGGATTTGTCCAATTTGTCATACATCTCTAAGCCCCACATGCCAATGTACTGACTAGCCAATACTTCAGGAGAACTCTGTTGTCAGTCTAATTCTGTCACTATTTAATATTTTATCCCTCATTTTCTCATTTATGCATATAATTATACTCCATAGTCCCTCAGGGTCAGTATTCTGAAAGCTTGGGATGGAAAGTTGTATGTCTTTACTGTGGGATATTTTTTTTTTCAATAAATCACTTTTAATGTTCTGCGTTTTTAGAGTGAGTTATAGTGAGAATACTAAGAAAATTTTATCTGATTGATGCCAAGTTAGTTGTCTCTGTGTGATGCATGGAGGAATGTGTTTGAATGCCTTTGGCATCATTCAGTTTTGCATTTACATTCCATATTAAAGACTTGGCAGGAAATAATATTGTGGCTGTTCAAAGTGTTTTTTTTTTTTTTTTTTTTGCCTCTGAGAATCCATAGATGCTAGCTCCTTAATACCAAGGAATTTAAGTGGACTGTTTTGGAATATGACAGCATCCAGTTAATTACACACCCAGCTGGTTAGTTGAGCAGGGATTCAAAAGTTCTGAGTGTAAGGAGTAAGTTGACCAGTTGTAGCGTAATGAACAGTGATCATGGGAGGATTTTGGGTGTTATAAAATAGAGGTGAGAAACAGCAGGGAAGGATTGCTTATAATGGTAGGTAATCCAAAGAGGAGATAAGCAGAATCTATGTCATCAAAGCAACTAAAGCTGCCAGAAGGATCTCTGTGAAAAACTCACTTTTTATGGGAATAAAGGAAAGCTTTGGAAATCAATTTTACTTTATAACCAAACCTATCATACACATTAAATAAGAAAGAAGTCTACTGAGTCTATAATACTTGTTTCATTATTGATAACATTTGCAAGCCTGGCTGTAGAAGTTATTTTTGATAGTTTTACAGTTAAAGCAGATGGTGTACTATAATTGAACTGTTATTTTTATTGTTTATTATGATCTTGCAGTTGAAAAAATTCCAACAGACAATATGAATGTGAGTTGCATGTGGACCACATTTTATGATTTCATTAATGCTGTTTCTAGGATAGTCGTATATCTGGTGGTTATGAAAATGTCCCAACTGATGATATCCACATGAAGCAAATTGATCTGGAGACTGTATGGCTTCATTTCATCCGGGAGTTTATTGCACCAGTTACACTGAAGGTGTTTGCAGGGTATTATACGAAGGTAGTTATCCTTGCATTCCTCTTGCTTATGGCCTGTTTTCACACAAATGTGATATGTTATATTTTTGATTAAATTCAAATCCATCAGTTTCCTTTGCCTTTTTTAGGGATTTGCACTATTGAATTTTGTAGTAAAATACTCCCCTGACAGACAACGATCTCTTCGTCCTCATCATGATGCTTCCACGTTTACTATCAACATTGCACTTAATAATGTAGGAGAAGATTTTCAGGTAGTTATAGCTTTTATTTGTTACATTATTCAAAAGAAATATGCTATTCTAAAGAGAGCTTTGTCTTAATTTTATTTATTTATTTTTAGATTTTACTTTTTATGGTATAGTTTGAATTTACCACTTATTAAACATTTCGCAGAATAAGTTCATATATTTCTTGTTCCTTTTCTTTTAGGGAGGTGGCTGCAAATTTCTGAGGTACAATTGCTCTATTGAATCACCACGAAAAGGCTGGAGCTTCATGCATCCAGGAAGACTTACACATTTGCATGAAGGACTTCCTGTTAAAAATGGAACTAGATACATTGCAGTGTCATTTATAGACCCCTAAGCTTTTTACTTTTCTTGGAATTGAATTTTCTTTTGGAATGGATGACTGGCATGAACATATCTTTGAAGTTGTGCTTAAGAAGATGAGAGGAATATTTAAATTATTTCAACAGAACAACTTCACTTTGGACTAAACATTAAAAAAAAAAACTTTTTGTAAAAAAATTGTTTGATATTTCATAATGTCTGCTCTGAGCCTTAAAACAAAGATTGAAAAAGAAAAGAAAGGACAAAAGTTAAAACAAATATTTATTTCTATGCCTTATTGTTGCTAAGGATCATGATATATATATTTTTTAATTTTGTTTTTCAGTTGAAGTATTCAGGTACAAATGTGCAAGTGAAATAATATGTTCTTATTTAACGAAAGTCTGGGAAATATGTTTTTAATAACATACAGACAAAATTGACATAAATGAAAATTGACAATTTTCCAAAATGTTGGAATAACCAGTCTTCTAACTGCATGTGATGCGATTAATCATGTAAGTTTGTTTTTTTCAGTCAAAAAAAACCTACCTATGCAGGTAGTTTTTTAATAATTACTGAGGTAATAAAAAGAACAATCTTACACATTTTTCCCCTCAATAAACAGTAAAAAACACAATGGAAACACATATCCAGTTGAAAGCATTTTGTTTATCTATCTAGATTTTTTTTTTTTTTTGGCATTTGTAGTAGAAATCAAGCCTTGTTTTTTCTCAGATTAATATTCCAATGTGTATGCTATAAAGTAGATATTAGATTTAGGAAAGCTTTCAAACCTTTTCCTTTCCTTAAAGTTTACCAGGTATCAACCTAAGATCAGCAAATATCCTTAAATCAAAAGAGTTTTGTTTACCTTTTCAATTCTAGAAAATAATGAGGAAAAATAAAATTTTGCAGTAACATTTTGTGATTAAAAATTACATTTTAAGTACTTGAATTTTATACCAGGAAAATAAAGTCGGTGAGCCTTTCTACTTCCTTTTTGTACTTTGTCTCATCTTTTTTTTTTTTTTTTAGGGAGAGTTGCTCACTTTTACATCTTTCGAGTGTAGTGTTCATCTTATCTTTTATTATTTTTATTAGCTTCCCTTCTATCTTTACAAAATTTCCCCAATTTTTCTTTTTCTTTTTTCTTTTTTTTTGCCATTTCTCTGATTGAGGTTCAAATATCTTTAATATAGCTACTGTTCTTAAGTTAAACTTGAAATAAAGTTCTAAGCCATGGTGCCAAAAGTTTTCTAACACCATGTGTTAGAAAATTATGAAATTATGAAAAATAAAGTAATTTAAATTAAGTTTCTGTTGTTTTCTTTATGATTGGTGATTTGTTTTTAGAAGTGAATGTGTAGTAAATCAGACTGAAAGAAATCTGGATATAATAATCTATGCTTTTTATTTTTAATTTTGCTTGCTACAGTTACTGATCATGACTTAAACTGTGTTCATTGAATTATACATTTAATGGTAATATCTTTAATCTGAAAATAACTGGATTTTGTCTAATCATTTTTCAAGTAGGGACAGAAACCACAAGTTTATTCCGTGGGTGTATGTGTTTGGTGTTTTTCATACACCTACTCTGAACCAGGTGCTTTTCCAGCCCAGAGAATATTGTGTTCAACAAAAATATATTATTAACATCTTGGGAGACGAATTTAGTGGGAAGTAAGGAAGTTGGATTCTACCTTCTTTTTCTTTTGTGGCACATAATGTGCAAAATAGATTTCTATTATTCATGACATTAATTGAAGAGATATTTTAGTAATCTTTATGGTTATGTTACCACAGTTAAGGGATGGTGCCCCAAATATTTAACAGTTGGCATGTCATATTGTCATCCAGTAAAATGAAACTTCCATTTTTATTTTCCTGAGTATGTCCATAACATTTTCCATGGGGGCTGGTCAAGCTTGCTTTCCCAACAGTGGATGTGAGTTCCATTTGTCCTAATATACCATTTATGGCTTTGATTTACTTATTAATTTTCTGTCTGGATGATTATCCCTTTATGTCAATGGAGTGTTGAAATTTCCAATCATTGCATTTTTGTTGGTATAAGGTTTTATGTCTTTTAACAATTGTTTTATATAACTTGGTGCTATTATTTTTGAAGCATAAATATTAAAAAGAGTATTATCTTCTTGGGTAGTTGTTCCCTTGACATTGTATAGTGTTTGTCTTTGTCTATGATTACTTTTTTAGTTGAAAGTCTAAATTAGTGGATATAAGGATAGGAGTTTCTGGTTTACTCTCTTTGTTATTGGCATGTATGAACTTATTCCAGTCTATTAATTTTAGTTTGGTTTTATCTTTAAATTTTTAGTGGGTCTCTTGAAAACAAGGTATTGCCGAATGGAAATTTTTTAACCTAAATTGTTAGTGTATGTCTTTTTAGTGATATCTTCAACCATTCACATTTAGGGTAATTATTGATGTGAAGTGTTTATTTTTTTATGTGTTTCTCTCTACTCTTTGGGGATAGTTTTCTTTAATACTTCAATCAATTTAGTTTCATCTGGTATGTTCTGAGTTTTTAGTTAATGATTAACATGAGGGTAATACTTGAATTCATATGGTCTTGGTCCTTAATGAGTTGGTGTCTTCTTTTTACCATTTAAATACTGATATATTGGTTCTACCCATTTCTTCTACGCACTTAGTATCTGGTGTTGTTGAATCATAGTTAATATTGCTGTTGGTGCTGCTATTATATATTGTTCATGTTATTTTGTCAAGGACTTCGTGCTTCATTTTTTTCTTCTGTGGGAAAATTCCTTTTTGTATGACTTAAAGGTTGGTTCTGGTCATGACAAAATCCATTGGCTTCTATTTGTCTGAGAAAACCTTTATTACTTCTTACTATTTAACTGGTAATTTTGTAGCATAGCAAATTCTTGATGGACAATATCTGTTTAGGACTGTGAACACTTTCTTCCATTCTTTTCTTGCTTCGACATTGTCTAGACTGAAATATGGGAACCCTTATTGTATATTCAATTTTTTTTCTGCCAAATTCTTTTATCTTTTATTTTTGATAGCTTGACAATTATGTGTGGTTTTAGATATTTTTGCACTTAAGAGCTCAGGTGTTCTTTCTACTTGTTTTATTTCCATATTTAAATAATTTTGTCAATTTGGGAAATTTTCATTTAGTATTTTTTGAATAGATTTTCAGTTACTACCAACCTTAGTTCTTGAACTCCTTGGGGATGTCCTGGAGCTGTATGGCTGTTTCAAAGCATCTGTTCTAGGAGCACATACCAATGTTTATTTTCTAGTTAGTTTTGAGGGGGTGGATGATTTTTAACCTCTTTATAATGCCATGTGATAAGTGAAATCCAGAAAATACTAACAACTTAACCTCCACTGGTGTCTTGTCAGATACCCCTTAATAGAATAAAAAGATGGGAAATAATCTACATACAAATTTAGTGACTCATCCTAGTGACAGAATCTCTCTAATATATTCCCTTGCTCTTACTTTACTGTTTGTCTTAGTTTCTCAGTGACTTTCTTGAGATCTGTCATTCATCTGAGACATAGCTTGGTCTATTCAACATGTGTTCTTCAAGTTACAGGAAAACCCAATAAATTTTTTAGCATGGCAGGGGGCCAGTCTTGGTAAATACGCCTCAGACTAGAGTTGACTGTTTTGGAAAATTAGAGTCTTCGAGATTTCATGAAAGTAGCCTTTGTGAATCAGCACTGTTTATTTGTGGTTTTTTAGAACAGCAAGTTACAGACTCCTTTAAGAATAACTCTATTAAAATAAAAGAACCACTGGGGAGGAAAAAGGGGCAGTGTAAAAAGTTATTTAATGTGAGCAATGAATTTTGGAGTAAATTTGAAGAAATTTATACTGAGAAATTATTTTTTTTAAGATTTATTTACACATACAGAACTGGGGTACAGGCCAGAGGTGGAGGGCGGTGAGAGGATTCACCAGGGACAGAGTGGGGAGCAGAACAGGCGGATCAAAAAAGTACACTGCTGAAGGGAGCAGTGAGCCGGTCAGGAGAGGTCTGCTGTGCCATATGGATCACCTCCGGGGCAGGTGGGAATCGAACTCATGCTGCAGTGGCTTTAGCTTCTTAGTGCTGTGCTTTAACCTGCTGCACCGCCAGGGAGGGCCATATACTGAGAAAATATTAATAAAAAGAGTAGTAAACTGTGGACATGCATGCAAAATAGACTATACCTAAATTATTCTACTAAATGGAATTAGAAAGTTGAAAAGATAGATGCCCTAGGAATTTATGGACTTGCTATAAAAGTTCCTTATAGCATTTTATGTAATTTTAAAGTTTTAAAAGTATTTTTGGTTTTCTTTATATTGAAACAGATTAGAAATATATATTAGGAAAAAGTAGATTCTTTGCTGATTTTTGAGGTGGTAATGTTATTTTTGCTATTCTTTCTTTACTCAAAAAATGGTTGATTAAGAAATTTAAATACTTAATTAAAAATTCCAAAAAAGTATCTGCCTATTTGACAACATAAGTACCCAATTTAAATGATAGTTTTAACACATGAAACGGAATTTTTCATGCAGTCTATAAAGAAAACGCTACTTTCAAATCACTCTCACTACAAATTAAATAGTACACTACAAAAAATGTTAAAAATTGTGTAGAAGAAAATATTTATGTCGGTTTTTAGTGAGTAATGAACAACTTGCTTAATAATAAACTAATTTTAGGGGTCCTCCCTGGTGGCACATTGGTTAAAGCACAGCACTATGAAGCTATTGCAGTCACTACAGCGCAAATTCCACCCCGGCCAGGTTGTTGACCCACATGGCACAACAAACTCCTGACCAGCCGAGCTCCCCTCAGCAGTGTATTTCACTGGGTCTGCCTATTCTACTCCCCAGTCTGTCTCTGGTGAATAGTCTCACCCACCACACGTCTGGCCTGTACCTCAGATCTTGTATGCATAAATAAATAAATCTTTTAAAAAAGCTAATTTTAGAAGACATTTTTTTCTTAGTGCTGATTTAAGTTTAACAAATTGTACCTTTGGGACATAATGTAAAAGGGTAGAAAGAATCTTTAGAAAGACTGTATTTCTGCACCTACTCAGGAGAATTTTAAATTCGACAATTCTTAATAAATCCCAAGTGGACAGTTAAAGCATATTTTTCTTCTGCTGAGCATTAACAGTAAACTTTTAATTGAAAGAATATGCGTAATTACCACCTTAAGCTTTCTTTTACTAAACTCTTTTCATCTTTCTCTACAAAGTTTATCTGATTTACAAATCTTGCAAGATTATGACATCACAGCTCCATCTTGTGGTCAATATAGATAACTAATAGTCTAAATTGTAAGTGAAAAGAGCCTAACATTGTTTGGTAATTCATGCTTTCAAATTTTTTTTTCTTAAAGCTATTATAAATAAAAATGATATAGATTGATTTTTATAGCTTTGAGAGTTCCCTTTTTGTACAGAAATTGTAGTGTGATGCAATTCCATATTTCGTTTTATTTATTTAGGCAACATTGTT